GCTGGAGCACCGCAAGAAGCCGTCGGTACCGAGTTTCTGATGAACTGCTCCGCGGCCGTGTGGTGTGAACCGCGCGGGGGCCGCGGGCTCCCGCACTGCAGGTGCGCAAGTAACGCCGGTAATTCTCTTCCAAGGTACCTGGGAGTCATGCCCGCCTACAGCGCTGCGGACGATGCTCTGACAACCAAGCTGGTGACTTTTTATGAGCACAAGAAGGATTCCTGTGTCCCTTCTCACCTAGCGACTATCCTCTTATTTGATCCAAGAAATGGTTCTTTAAAAGCGGTGGGTTTCGTGCATGCTTCTGCATTCTCTGTGCACGTTCTGTTATTTCTTCCTTCTAATTCTTAGAAGCTGGGACTGTTGTAAATTGGCCTGAGTCTACCTGCGTCATCAGTGAAAGTGTGTTTGTGCTGAATGAGGATTTGGCCAAGAGCCTTATGTCTGTCTGCTCTTTACTGCTACTTGTGGTGTGAAGGGAATCTATGGGTTTACAAGGTGACTGGGAGAGAGAAACTATCAGGAAAAGTTCACATTGCATCGGAGAGGAAAAAAAACTTTGGCTAAAGAGTTGATCTTGAACTATTTTCCGTTAAATCTAAAGAGATTTACAATTGGTATAATGGAATAATATTTAGAGTGTTTTGGGGGGGGTCTTTGATTAAAAACAATTTTTTAAAAAAAATATTGACTGTTTTCATCATACTTTAGTGTTAATGATTATTAAAAGGCTAAAACTGATCAAGAAAACTCTACTGGGCTCTTATTTCTAAGCTGTTTCAGGAAGCATGCCAGCCTTTTAAGCCCCTTCATTCATTTGTACACAGTAACTAATGCGTATTTAGGCAGGAGTGCCCCGAATTCCGTGGTTCCCTCTCATCCCTCTGTGCAGACCAAGACAGTGCCTGCACTTGTGAACGACTGCGAGCTTGCACTGATCCCTGGTTTTACTGGAGCACAGAGATTGCAGTTACGTTGATCTGATCCGTGTGTTGGAAAGCCAGAGGAGTGCAGTGCAGAAAGAGCTGTGTGAGTTAGGGGTGGCTCGGCTCTGACCACTTTTCACTCCATTCATACTGGTGGAATGAGATGGAAGAAATGGAATAGGCAGTGAATCTGCCTAGTTTAAACATGGTTTTGTATGGTTTGTGATTGCTATAGTAGTAATTACCAGCTTTCATATTTTTATCCATGTCCTGAAATATTGCATAATTCACAAATCAGATGAAAATGTTTGGTGTTTGCTTATGTTGTTTGTTTCACTCTATATGATTTTTTTGAAATTGTATTTTAAAGATCCTAGATGGCAGCGTGATTACAGCAAAACGAACAGCTGCAGTTTCTGCAATTGCTACCAAGGTATGTCTTCTGTTTTCTAAATTGGGATAGATTTAGTGCTGTTATAACTAGAAGGAAAGCTGTAAATGGCTTTCAGGATTTGTGAATTTTCATCAAATGCAGCTTTAAATTTGATTTATGGTTATGTATAAAACTTAAAGTCAGAGGTTTTTTGAGTGTCACGTTTGGCTTTAATACTTTGTGTGGGATTGGAGGAAGAATCCAAGCAATGTTTTTGTAGCTTACTCTATGCACTCTTCTGGGAATTTACGGAGTTGTCTGAGGCATTTCTTAGCATGCTTCATTATGGCTTTGGGTGATGTAGCTATCGGACCCAGTCAGGTGGATTGCACTGGAGCTGGAGACAGGGGAAAAAGGCACGTTTCCAGGGGTTGCTGTGGGTCCTCTTTAGATGGTGCCCAGATGGATGACTTGTGCAGCAGTGGCTGACTGGCTGTCTCTGAAGGATGTCCAGGTGACTATCCCTGGCCATAGCCAAAAACCTCAGCGTCTGAAGACGAGTGAGACGTATTTTGCTCTATGGTGCTTTACATAATTCCAATTTTAGTTGGAAATTGTTGGTTTTGAAGACTTTTTTTAAAGCTGTATTTGGCGGGGCTGCTAGTAGTGAGAAGAAAGCAAGCCACCATCCATTGCACAGTAAAGTTTGCCTTCACTCAAAGGATGAGGCAATAAGAAGGCCAGAGCTGAAAAATACTGTTTTTCACCCTTTAGCTTTACATCAGAATGGAGGCTGATCTCACCACTCTGTTAGTGGCAGTCTTAATGCCAGCGTGACTCTGTCCATGGCAATAGAACTAAACCAGTGTAAAATTGGAGTGAAGAACCTGTCCCCAAGAGCTTCTCCTGAACCAAGGGACAGAACAATTTACAAAGGATTCCTTGGACGTGAGGTTATAAGACCTCATTCTTTTCAGCCATTCTATACTTGGGCAGTTCTGACAGATTTTGCACTGTTAAGGCTCCGGTGGCCTCAAAGGAGCTTGGCTGCTGAAGGGATTTTAAGATCAGATCCTTTATTTTTTTCTGTTTTGGGAAATGTTCAAGAGTGTTTGAGTTTACCTCATAGTTGTCATCTTGTCCTCTCTGTGGCATTTGCTTTTCAAAGACTCATGCTTTTGTGCAAGGAACTTTTGAAATCAGTGCTTCAGAGTCTTTGAAAGGAGCGTTAAAAAGAGTTCTTGCTACTTAAAAAGGGGATCAATGAGATTTTTTTCAATTTATTTGCAGCAGAATAAGCATTGAGAGCCTAGACAATTCCAAAGCTTTTATACAGAAGTGAGAGGCCACAGAAGATGCATAAACAAGACACAAGGATAACTTAGGGCTGGACTCCAGCAGCCCTCTCTTCCCCCTTTGCCAAGTACTAGTGAATCACAGGCAAGAACTAAACCAGAAAACCAAAAGGGACCATAGAACTGAATTTTAATATTTGTTCTTCAGAACCCTCTGTGCTTTTACAATGCTTGATGCATATGTATTACGGCTCTTAAAATGACACAATATGCTTGTGGTATGATTCACAGCTTCTGTGAGTTGAAAAAGAAGATTGAGTATGGGGCTGCCAAGACGAGGTTACCCATGCAGCTACCTCTTTCTGTACTGATAGTTTTCAGTATTGTGAACCCTGTTTTCAGTCAGTGCAGAACATCACTTAATTAGTCACATATAATATACTAATATTACTAATATACTAATATCAGAGCATGCTGAGGCCCCAGAATTTGCATTGGCTTGTGCTGTTGCATGTTAAGTCTGAATTTCAGAAGTCTGTGACATTTCAAAACAGGAATTAAGCCAAGATGTATTTTTGTGTTATTAATTGCTGCATTAAAAATCATATGTATATATAATGGTAATTGAATACTGGTTTATATTAGTATGAATCAATGCTAGCTTTTATATAAGAACATTTTTGTTGTTGTTTAAAAGGACCAAGGATACTGCTTTCTCCTGTAGTTTTTGCATTTATATTTGTAACTTTTGTTAATATATTGCTCTTACATACTCTTTTAATTTTTTTTTTATACTGTTTAGTTTTTAATGCCAGCTTTTGCAGAAGTGCTGTGCATTTTGGGAGCTGGTGTTCAGGCATATAGCCATTATGATATCTTCACAGAGCTGTTCACATTTAAAGAGGTAACGGACACATCCTAGTAGGATGCATTTATTTTCTTCTATTGCATTTCAGGAGCAGTTATTACAAGTGTAAAGTACAGCCAGTGAAGTTGCGTTAGGTGTGGCTGAGATGGAGTTAATTTTCCTTGTAGCAGCCCTCCTAGTGCAGTTGGTAGCCAGAAGGATGTAGATAAGACATGGCTGTTTTGGCTGTGTGAGTGGTGCTGGCACAGCACCAAGGCTGTCGCTCTCCCATTCCCCCCCCCACAGTAGCAGGGAGGACCATATGATGTCTGCTCTGCACTAAAAACTAAGAAAAAGGGTTGAGGGGAATTTGTTGCTCAGGATGACAAATGTTGTAATAACTGCTGCACATACTGAAGCCCTGCTTCCTGGGAAGTGGCTGGACATGGTCTGCTGATGTAAAGTAGAGAATCAAGTCTTCTGTTTTCCTTTGCTTCCACATATGGCTTTTGCTTTATTAAACTGCCTCTATCTTGAACTGTGAGATTTTTCCATCTTATTTTCTCCCCTCTCTGTCTTGCTGAGGAAGGGAGTAATAGAATGTCTTGATGGACACCTGGCATCCAGCCAAGGTCAACACAGCAAAGAAGTTCAAGGATTAATCGTAGGTTGATTCTGTTTCTACAGATCCCAAGAATACTCTGAACACCTGTAGAATTTCCTGCTCAGATGTTGATCTTAAAAAAACACCCAAACAAACAAAAAAAACCACCCCAAAAAACCACCAAAACAAAACCAAAAAAAGGACTGGAAACAAAATATTTTTAGATGGCTTTGGTTTTTTTTCTGTCTGAGCAAATCTTACTGTATATGCCATATTTGTATAAGCTTTCTGTGACTATCCCTTAAATATATTTATTAGAGGCACTTGTATTTTGTAAATATGCTCTACAAGGAGCTATTATTCTGGTATCACAAAACAGTTATTGAAATAGCTGCACACATGTGAATTTTAGTCACTTGTATGATCTGAACATTAAAAGTGAGAAAAACCCATGCTTGTGATACGTGTAACTATCTATTGCAGATTGAAACAGAGTTGTGCTTCAGCAAGGAGAAATTCTACAAGTCCAAGCTAATCTGTCTTTTTTTTTTTTTTCATTGAAGGTCAGGATATGGAATCGCACCAAAGAGAGAGCAGTGAAGTTTGCTAATTCAGTAAATGGTCCAGTGCACGTCTGCTCGTCGGCTCAGGAGGCTGTTACTGGGGCTGATGTGATCATAACGGTCACTATGGCAACAACACCAATTTTATTTGGAGACTGGGTAAAACCAGGTGCCCATATCAATGGTACGCTACATTCTTGTAGTTTAAAGGATACATTTATTATCACATTGTTTGGTGTCAAAAACTGTTGAAAAGCAGTACTCTATGCCTCTCAGAATGAATATGCTTTCAATTTTGACTATTCCCTTTAGTGAGGATCGCTTTTCCTAGCCCTGTCTTCTTCGCTGTCTGGAGTCAGAACTCCTGCCTATTCCAGCCCTGGATATTTGCCAGAGCGTGGGATATGCTTTTTTACCCTAGTGCTGCATCATCTTTACCATTGCGTTATCACCGTATGCTCTCCTTGGTCCCTATTTAAAGAGCCTGTACAAACATGTGATTCCTGCTCATTGTAATGTTTCCTTTGTGGTTGTCATCTTTTCACCCGAAAGCTCCTCTAGTTGTTCTTGTTTGGGCTGATCACATTGATTTGCTTTTTTTTTTTTTTTGAGTTAAAAAGATGCAATAACTGAGTTTAGAACTTTATAATTTGACCTAATTATGGTGAGGCTTGGAGGGCTGGGTTTTGCTGGTTTTTTTTCATTTCTTGTAATGATGTTGCCACACTGTTTGGAGTCTCTGGACATGCCTGTGTTTTTTTATTTCATTAATTGTGGGCCTGATTGAGGTGACCTTGTGCACTTTCCAAATAGCATGCTAATAAAACAAAAGCCGCTTGTCAAAGGGAACAATTTAAAAAAGGTCCCACGTTCCAGCAGCAATCCTGCCGCTTTTTCAGACTCGATTTAGTTCTTTGTCTTGTCGTGGCACGGAAGCCAGAAGTACAACCAAAATCAATTAAGGTCTACAGTCACTGAGGCGACACGTACACAAAGACCTATCTCCGTATTTGCCTTTTTTTTACCTCTATTGAGCATTTGTGCTCTTTGAAGAGGCATTCAGGCAACATGGAATTTATTATTCCATAACAGTTAGACACTTTTGAAACATTTGACAGGAAGGTTGGATTAAATGATCGCTAAGGTCCCTTCCAGCCTAGCCCATTCTGTGATGATTCTATGACTCTGTGTGTGTTTGGGTTTGGTTTTGTTTTTTCTACACCGTAACAAGACTAGTGATCTTGCTGTATTTAAAAAGTTAAGTTCCTTGGTTAGTTTTCAGTTTCTCCACATAAGTGAAAATCCATAATCTGCTCAACTTGTTCTGCTTACAAGGTTACAAGGAAATAATAAAAGGCTATAAGTTTAAAAGTCCTAATTATTGTCATTGAGTTCTCTGTATGTGCAAGTCTGTACAAAGTTTTGGTTCTTATCTGTTCAGGATAATTGAGGAATTCTTCAAATTTTATTTTTCTCTATAGACACACAACAAACACAATCTGAATCAAATAAAAGGACTATAAAATTCAGGGCGTTTGTAATGATCTGATGAAAGACGTACAAGAGATAACAGACAAAGAGAGATGACTTTTTTTATGCCTTGGCTACCCAGAGTCTGCGGACAAGAATATTCTACTGACAAATCAAAAATAGAATCTTTTAGAGGAGCTGTATGAGATGTTAGTTAACCCTGTTTAAAAAATAAAAAGCAACAAAACCCTATTAATTTGGCAGTCGCAGAAGCATGTAACTGTTTGTCTGCAGAGTTGTCTCTATAACCTTAAGACTTTCTTGCTTGAGTAGTATCACCAAATGATCAAAGTTTATTCTAATGGTGCCTCTGTAAGCAGAAAAGAGTAATTACGTCACTCTGATTTTATCAGTGTCATTTTCAAAGGTGCTGGCAAAGGTGTTTCTTTTGCACCTGTACGTAGCTACACGTATCTTTACATTTCTTGTGTAGATGGAAGATGAAGGGCTCAGCAGTGCTACTTCCCCCTCTCTTCTCTGTCAGCGTTGAGAGGAGCAGTTTCACTAGTGTACCACAGAGGTGGAAGCAGTGCCAGCAAAGGATCTTACCTCTGTTTCCTGAAGAGTTGCAGTTTAGTGCTTCAGTGAAGTGCAAAGGGCAATTGATTGCAGTTGTTCTGCCTGTGCTTTTGGGGAATGTAAAACTTTCATTGGCAGCAGCATCTACATGACTGGAGGTCAAGCATGCTGTACATTTTAATAAGCTGTAATTTGGTGGATTGGGTATAATATAATCCTTTGTCATCTGTGAAAATTTAGGGGGTTAGCACCTTACAGGAACAAGCCATGTATGTATTGGCGTAACAGTTGAGGCCAGGTTGAAAGAAATCCAGACGTTTTCCCATCCTGTTTTTTGTTGTTTTGTCAATCAACATGTCTCCAGTGCTAATATCAGATTCTTTGTGTATTAGATTTCCACAGTAATGTCCATAGTTACTTCACATGTGTTTTGGACAAAATGTGGTTTGAATTTGTTTTAAACATTTCTCCCAAGTTCATTGGTTTTGTCATCTTAGCTGTTGGAGCAAGTAGACCAGACTGGAGAGAATTGGATGATGAACTGATGAAGAACTCAGTTCTGTTTGTGGATTCCAGAGAGGCTGCTCTTACAGAATCTGGAGATGTTATATTATCAGGGGTAAGACTTTCTCAGATTATGGTCTTTATTTTTGTGGCTTGCATGTGGAATGAGTTGGTACTGATGATGTGCTGCACTGAAACTTTTTAGAGCATCGGATGTAGTTGTTGCCACTTTCCAGGCACAGACTGAAAGATAAACTTGGTTTCAAGCTGAGACTTCTGTATGTCTGTGCCAAATCCGTGCAATCTCTGCATCAAGTGTTACGTGACAGCATGTTACAGTAGCATGTTTTCAGCATTGGCTTTTGTTATAATAACATATTGGTTTGGAAAAACCTACGTTTCCTGCAGTGTTTGGTAGTCATGTGAAATATTCTTGAAAACTGTTTATTAAAGCCTGTGACTTCTCATAAGATTTCACTGTAATTGACACACATCAGGCCTCTAGAGAATGGATGACAGAAGCCAAGTTAGTGATCCGCAGAAATTTGATGTCAGGGACTCTTAGGTTTAATGGAGTTTTCTTTATCTCTTTATATGTTTTCCCAGAACAAATACGATTTCCGTTTTTGAAGCTTAACGTAAAAGGTCCAGACATAGTAAAATGTTTTGTTGAAAAAATAATGTTATCCACTGTAAAAAACAAAACAAAAACAAACAAAAAACTGAGGAAGGTCTGCCAGCTGTTACTCACCAAAAACCATTCCAGTTGTTTGTGATTTCTATCCAGTTTCTGTATTATTTGTCTGAATACAGATCTGTTTCACTATGGAAGGGAATTAGTTCTGGGATAGCAGAACTGGAGAAGTTCTTTCTTGCGAGGTTGCTTAGAAAAAAGTTTTCCTCTTAGAGTATGTATGGATATTTATCTTTTTGTATAAATATATATTTGTTTCACAGGCAGAGATTTTTGCTGAGCTGGGAGAGGTAGTGAAGGGCATGAAACCAGCCCTGCCTGAAAAAACAACAGTGTTTAAATCACTGGGTAAGAACAACACTTCCTGTGTACAAGTCTGACAGAAAACAATGCCTTGTTATTTATTAGATCCCCCATGCGTGGGAAAGCTGCTGATCATCGTCAAAGCTACCGTGGCAATGCACCATCCACAAGAAACTAGAATGTGATTTGCATATTCCCTTTCTATTTCCCATTTTATTTATCTAGCAGGATTGACGTAATGAAGAGTGATAGGAAAGCAAACAAACAATAGGAAGGAGTGCATTTTCCTTGTCACAGTTGCTCAACAAATGTCTGCAGCGTTTGTTAATACTACTCCAACCCAAATGCCTGGCTGTTATGCCCCTGGAGTCTGTCTGACCTCCACACTGTGACAGTGTACTGTGGGGTTGGAGTTGATGTTTGGGGGAAAGATGGATTACCATGCTGTGAGCTGTGTGACATGTCCAAAAGGGCCAAGTTGTCATGAAAATTAGATTCATGCTACTGCATTAACTTCATACAGCACAACTTAGAGTTACATGATGGCTGTAAACTTCGAACGGAACACTGCAGGTGTTTGGTATGGGGAAAGATCTCTATTCCTGTCATTAGATTGTAGTCCTGAGATCTTTTGTTCCCTTCTGAAACTAAGGTATTTTGTGCAGCTGAAGAATTGTTTGAAAGTGACTTTTAATTCTTTTTCAGGGATGGCGGTTGAAGATACAGTAGCAGCAAAATTTGTTTATGACTCATGGTCGGCTGGTAACTAGAGAGAAGTCTACATTGCCAGCGAGACCAAGAAAATAGTTTGCACTTAGATTCCTTGAATCTTTTGTTAACAAGAAAGGCATCGATCCTGCCTGCATGTGGCCCTTCTAGAACATTCAAGAATGAAAAGTAAAACTTCAGCAGTAGACTAAATTTCTACAGTTTTCTAATGCCAAGTATTAGATACCTGCAGTATTACTAATTAATGTGTCTTGTGTAAGGGCAAGTATTAAATGTTTGCAATGATACTAATAAGGGCATTTTTACATATTTTGATGTAATTCTGGAATCAATTACTTTCCTACCTAATTATTTATGTAGCAGAAGTCTGTGTGTAGATTTTGTGCTTTTAGAGGGGTATTTGATACTGAAGTAAAATATATCAGTTTGGAAAACTGAACTCTAGCACTATATTTACATGTGATGGTACTTTAAATGCATCTGTGGGTTTCACTGCTACACTGGCAGCAACACAGCCTCTTCTGGGAACACAGTCCACCTCTGAATCCTAGATACCCCTTCCCTTCCAACTCAGACTGGGATTGGGAAGTCACCATCCTTATTTTCACATTCCACAATCCCCCTTCCCTGCACTCAGAGCCAATGTCTTCTCATTTAAGAGCACACTTGCTGAATGGGAGTTTGTATAAATGATGATGCCTCCATACAGTTAGATTTGTGTCTATACCTGACTCCGAAAGACTGAAAGAGTCCAAAAAATCAGAGCTAATATGTACATTTTAACTGAGAGGAAACTAAATTTCTCTGAGTACATTCCTGCGTGGGATATTGCCATTTTCATGTTGTAAGGAGTCACCAAAATGTGAGATTAAAAATGCATTTTGATTTAACATTTATCTTTATTCTGCGGAGATTTCGTTAGTAACCTATGGTGTTTGTTTTTTTTCTAAACTTCTTGAATGTTGGAACCACACAAAGAGATTTCAGTAGGATAAACTTGGAAGTATGCAGGCAGATAGTTTCAGCGTGGCTGTACCATAGATCAATTGGTAATTGTTCTCTTATCCCAGTGGGTATTTGCTGAGGCAGGAATTTCCATGATCCTTTCTTGGCGGAGGAACCTGGTGATGTTCCACTTAAGAAAAAGTTCCAGTTTTGTGCTGTTATGCAACTGCCTTAGGAAAGATTGAGCATCTACTGAAAAATAGGTATTGCCCCAGAAGCAAATTCTTGTCTCAAGCTACAGTTTTGCCTTATGAAATTTAATTTCTATTTATGTATTTTTTTCATGCAGGCTATTAAGTGTTTCTTTGCTCTGTGGAAGGGTTAGATGACGTGGTCGTTCCCTATTGATGCCAGTAGAATACAGTGGAGCAACAGGCAGTTAGTGTTAAAGGCCTTGATGATGCCTAAGTAAGTATAGAAGAGGTTACTGAGTACAGTGCAGGTATGAGACAAATAATACACTGAATTATAAGCCTGGTGTAAACTAGTTGGAAAAAAAGTAGTAAGTGGCAGAGTTTGTAATTTGCAGAGTTTTAACGTGGAAGGGTACCAGACCAGTAAGTGAACAGGGCCAAAGGATGTGTTTGTGTGGGTAGAAACCTAACTCCATTGATCTTGCTTGTATCAGCAGAGAAATAAGAACAGAAATTTCTCTATAAACTTTTGCACTTAATTGCAGCAAAATTATCCTTCTATTTTTACCTGTATTTTTTCTTCTTTGTCATTTCTGAAGTGTTCAGAAACATAAGTGTTGACTCTTAGCCTGTTACTTTGGCAGTAGAGACCTCCACTAGCTTGAGACAAATGCCACATCCATTGCTGTTCCATAGTTCAAGAACTGTGTGGAAATCTGCACTTACAACAGTTCTGTGCTTGTGTGAAACAAGGTTTGTAATCTGAAGTGAGTCGTAGTATTTGGGAGGAAGCAAATACAGTTTATTTTCGCCCGTACTTTTCTACAGACTGTGTATTTCAAAAGTAGATGGAACTAGTCCAAAAATGTGGTTCTGAAAACCCACAGTGTTCTCTGCTTTTATTGGCAATAGGAGATTCTTGGGAGCCTGACTTGGGCATTGTACTTTTAATTCATGAAGAGGATTCAATTCAGTTACAATGGGAGTTGCTTGAATGCCGTCTTTAGATTTTTTTTTTTTTTTTGAGGGCAAACAATAGCCTTTATTTCCATGTTTCCTTCTCTTACAAATCAGTCTCAAGAAATTATGTAACTTGCATTTGTGTTGAAATAAAATAGATATTGCTGGGTTTGTTTGACTTTCATTTTGTTGTCCATTACTTTTGTTTTGGGTGGGGTTTTTTGCTGGTTTGGAGTTTTTTAGAAGATGAGGAAGAAAGTATTCAAGTTGTAGCAGTGACTGCTCTGTCAGTAAATGTGATCACTGAATGTAAAGGGGAAGATAGATTCTGCACTGCTCCACTGTGGTGCAAAGTTTTGTGGTCATTATCCTAGACTGGACATCTCTTGATGTCTGTCCAGCACAGAGTATCGAATCCTTAAGGAAGGGCTGTGATCATGTGAAATCCCATGGTTTTATGCTTTGGATTGAGATATAACATTGCATACGTGATACATAAATATCTCAAACTGAGCTGTGCTGTACAAATGCTACTGTGGACTCAGATCTATACATCAAATTATAAAAGAAGTAAGTACTTCAAATTACAGAAGAAACAAAAGGGTTGGTGAAAAAATTTGGAGAACAGCAAAGCACATAAGTGGAAGAAACCCTGAAATGCGAGTGTTCCTTTTTATTTATTTTTTTCTTCCAGTTGTTCCGCATAGCTTCTTTAAACCAGAGGCCATTTTCTTGGACCACCCTGCACAAAGGAGCTAGCACTCTTGCTCTTCGTAAAAACACACCAATATTTTAAAAGGGAGTGTGTATCTGTCTATCTATAATATGTATATTATAGATATATCGGGGTTAATTTGGATGCCTAAAAGTAAGTGTTGCATGGGGTGCTCTGAGACTTCTTAATCAATGTCTGGATGCAGTTCCAGAACTCCTTCTCAGAGGTCTTGTGCTGTATCTGGTAGCTGCACAGAGTTACTGTGGACACCTGAGGATGAACCAAAACGTGCTGGATGCTTGTGACAACCAAGTCAGTCAGTTTCTGTGCAGAGATTCTGTGCCTTTATCTCTGATTGTCAGAGGCTGCAGCAGTTGAGCAGATTTACAGGAGAATATGCAGAGAGACAGATTTTCGAGGCAGATTTTCAGGATACTTGGGGCTTTGCTGAAGCTGTTCTGTGCTAAGAGCAGTTACCGGGCAGGTCTCTGGGAGTGACACCACTCACTGATTTTCTTTCCATGGTGTGTCGTGAGTAAAGAACCAGCAAATGTATCAGTTACGTGTCTGAGAATGATAGGATTTCACCCTTTGAAATCCACTCATCAAATGCCTTCAAATACGTGAGATTCATAATTTCATTCTAGTTTTATTAAACATCTAAGGTTTCTCAGCTAAAATGAAAACAACTAAGCAGGTTAGTAACACAAGTCTAGGCGGGTGCTATCTGATTTAATTGCTTTGCTAAGCATAGCAGTCATTTACGGTTGTGCTGAATAGAACTCTGCTGTGGCTGCTTAACAGAAGAAAATATCAACCCGCTGAAGTACAGCAGTACAAGGAGAAAAGAAAGCAGTAAAAAGTCCAACCAAGAAAAGGAATTACAATACACACATCAAAGAAACAAGAAGATATGGAAAGAAGGAAGCACAAAAAAATAGATCGTTAACTAGGATTCATGTCCACAAATGCAGTATGCCCCTAAGGAAGAAATGATAGTTGACTAATGCAAAGCTATAAAAAGACATTTAAAGATAGAAATCCTGATAGTAATTGTGCCTCTAAACTCTGACATCTGAGCCAAGCAAGACTGCTACAAGCACCTTATTAGATTCACGAAATTCAACGGGAGTGATTCGTACATATTGGATAGTGCTGTCTTCCCAAGGGAACAAGGCTGAGAGAGATGAAGGGAACCCTGCTGTGAATGCCTCCAGACACGCTGTGAACAACAGGAACTTCCACGCAAGCACAGGCTCAGTTTTCTTTCTCTTTTCCTGAGCTGGGGATGTATGTTATATGGAGTTTTCAGGCTGAGGCTGACAACAACCAACAGAAGATACTGCGTGGAAAGAGTCTGGGTTTCTGGGACTTTACACAGCAAAGGAACCAAGCTGAGGATATACCAAAAAGGGTGAAAATGCTGAAAATAAAACCTCAGCTTCTTGTCATTAAAAGTATTGCAGTGTTGATGCCATTTAGGACAGGATGGGTGCTGGCAAATGGGTTCAATCTAATGAGACAGGAGAAAAGAATGTGCAACTCACACCAAACATCTGGCAAAGTACTTCATATATTTTTAAATTAATACAGTAGGAACACACTTTACTCATGAGAACATGAAACTTGCTATAAATTAGGCTTATTTACATTAATTCAGAAGCTATTAGAATCAACAAGCCATAGCTGACATCGAGATTCAGATGCCATTTCGAACATATCAGTACTAGGAGGAGCAGTTCGTAGTCATCTAACACACTTTGAGAAAACTCAAAGCTCTCAAGCTTGGGGAATGCTCTTTGTGTTGTGGTGTTGAAGAAGGGAAGGGCTTTATTAAGGAATGTAGTGTGTCTGGCCTTCACTAATATTTTAAATTATTCTGACAAGAAATCCAATCCCCATAAACAGTTCAGGGAGAAAAAGTTTAAAGCTTTTGGGTTTTCTCTTTCCCATTCTTTGTTTTTGGCAGAATATGCTTGAATTAATGTCCTTCACACCACAGCCGTCTCTCCAGAGATGAAAAGCCTTTGTCCTCGCTGTAGTTTCTAAAGCAATTGGTAGCCTCTCTGCCTTTTGTGTTAGCAGATGTCTGAAAAGATTTGTGTGTTCTTTGTAAAGAGGAAAAGAATGAATCAGTTTGCAGGTTGCGGCAACAGGTATGTTCATTTATAAACAAGTATCTACAGTCTTTCCAGGGTTCTTGAGTGCTTGTTTTCTTTTGTTTATG